GGCCTGACAAGACACCAGAGTCACAAGAGAAACCAGAGTTAGGGCGGTAAATACCCTCTCCTTTTGCAAAGACAGTCACACAGACTCCTCTGGGCCAGAGGACAGAGACACACATGCCTCCCAAAGGAACAGATGCGTAGACCTTGCAGGACAGAGAGATGACAGAGCCCTTACCCCTGAGGATAGACACAGTAATTAAGCCCCATCCCCACCCCAACTTGGCCAGAGAGACAAACACATAGACCTTCCCGGAGAAAGATACCCACCCCCGCTCCCCAACAGCGAAGCACAGATTCCCACGTTCCCCCGGACAGGCAGCAGACATGCTACCTCCCAGCCCAGGCCAGGTCTAGAGTCCGCCTGACGAGGTCGGGCTGCGAGGTGCCTCTTTCTCACGCTCTCTGCCACACTGTCGGAAGCCCAGCTATTTCCTCTGCCTCGGAGGAGGGGGTATGGAGGTGGGCGATGGAGGAGTCCCTGCCCCAGATCCCAGGGGGGCAGATGTTATAAGGGGACAGCTGATCCTTGGTGGCCTTGCAGCCTGACCAGGGTGAGAGGGTCAGGAGACAGGGTGCTGGCCACCCGGCCAGGCTAGGCACCGTCAGGAGCCCCCGGCCTGACGTCAGTCCCACTCATTGTTGTTGATGGGGCTTGAGTCACTCCCCGTGACGCCACTGGGGTCAGCTCTGGAGCGACTGGGGGGGGGTGGCCTGCAGGCCCAGCTTCAGGGCTCAGCTCTCCCCAGGGCACACACTAGAATGGGGTGGGGCCATCCAAGGCCACAGTCATCATGCAACATGCAAAGCCAGCTGCCTACTCCCAAGGTCTTGGGTTGGCCTTCAAGGTCCCTCCATGGGCCTCAGCTGCCGGCCTGGCTCAGAGGGCCTCAGCTAGCCGCTGGGCTGCCTGGCTGGCTGTGGTGTCGGGCTCTGACTGAGAAGTCTGCTCTCTCCGTCTTTGCCTCTCCCACGCCACAAGCCTCAGTTTCCACCCTCGGCTCTCGAGGAGACCTCTCCCCCAAGCCTTTTTCTTTCCCCTTCTCCAGGAAACCCCCTCCCCGAATAATTCCCGGTAACTCCACTTCTTTCTGGAACCACTCACCTCTTCTGGCCCATCCCTCACCTCGATGTCCTATGCTTTCTGCAGCTGTCCCACTTTTCTCCCAGTGTCCCCTCACTGCCCACCTTCAATGTATCACTTCCTCTCCCACAGGCCCCAGTCAAGACTGACAGCAGTAGCCTCCATCCCCAGCCCTGGAAAGCCTGCTGCCTTTTCTTTCGTACCAGCTCTTACGTTCTCCAGTTCAGGAGGAGCCCCTGGTCCATTTCCTTTGCAAGACTTTTGAGCTTCCAGAGGGCCACACTGTCCCCCTTGATAGGACATGGGCGTGGCATATGGACAGTTACATATGTCTGGCATGAATGAATGAATAAGTAGATGAATAAATGATTGAAGGGGTGCCTGGCTAGCTCAATTTGTAGAGCGTGAGACTCTTGAACTCAGGGTCATGAGTTCAAGACCCGTGTTGGGTGTAGAGCTCACTTAAAAATAAAATCTCTAAAAACAACAAAAAAGATTACATCTTGATCATCAAGAGAGGGTCATAGGGTGGGGTAATTCATTCCACACAGTCTCACTTTTTTTAAAAAGAGATGTATTTATTTGACACAGAGAGAGAGATCCTAAGTAGACAGAGAGGCAGGCAGGGGTTGGGGGGGAAGCAGGCTCCCCGCTGAGCAGAGAGCCTGATGTGGGGCTCAATCCCAGGACCCTGAGATCATGACCTGAGCCGAAGGCAGAGGCTTTAACCCACTGAGCCACCCACACACCCCCACACAGTCTTGCTTTTTGAACCTTCCCTCCCTGACAGGACCACCCATGTGGCCATAGGACCCAAGGTCTGAGGTGCAGTGGGAACAGCCCTGTAAGGATTTGGGGAGGTAAGAGGAGGCAAGGATTGGCCAGCATCTGGCCAGAGACAAGTAAGGTGAGGGGGCTCAGCTTCAGCCTCAGACGGGAAGGGCTCCAGGGACAAGGTGAGTTTTGGAGGAGGGACAACAGTGGGTGGAATGAGGACAGAGGAGCGTGTGGCCTTGGCAAGTGTATTAGTCAGGGTTCTCCAGGGAAACAGAACTAATAGGATGTGTATCTATAGAAAGAAATTTGTTATGAGGAATTGGCTCATGTGGTTATGGAGGTCTGATAAGTCCCAAGATCTGTAGTCAGCAAGTGGGAGACTCAGAAAAGCTGGGGTATAGTTCCAAATGCCAGTGAGCGGGAGACCCAGGAAGAGTAGGTGTTTCAGTTCAAGTCTGAAAGCAGGAAAAGAACCCAATGTTCCAGCTTGAAAGCAGTCAGGAATTCTCCTTTTTCTCGGCAGGGTCAGAGCTTTTATTCTATTTGGGTCTTCAACTGATTTGACGGGGCCCACCCTCATTAGGGGAGGAAGTCGTCCCCTTTACTCAAGTCTACCCAATTCAAATGTTAATCTCCTTCAGAAAAACACTCTCCCAGACACACCCAGAATAATGTTTGATCAAATGTCTGGGTACTCTGAGGCACAGGCAAGTTGACACATAAAATTAGCTATCAAAGTAATTACTACATATCACTGAGCCTCAGTTTCATTATCTGTAAATTGGGGGGGGGGGATTGCATTTACCTTCAAAGGTAGTTGGAGAAATCAACACAATAGTGCATTCGAAGTGCTGGCGCGGTGCCTAGTAAGGTTCAGTGATGGGTAGTAGTGATGATGATGTCAGTCTTGTGGCCTCGAAGGTCCCTGAGATGAAGGGTGTCAGGGGTAGAGGAGAGATCAGCCACTCCCTTCCCTGACTGGCAGTCTCTGGGAGTTAGGCTCTGGTCCCCCCACCCATCCAGGGCTGGTTCTACTTCCTTCGGTCTCCCTCTTCTGGCTCCTCAGACACTCTCTCAATATTTTATGCTGATTCCTCCTGGTTAAGTCCAGGCTCCAGAAGATGTTGGTCTATAAGGCAGGTGGCTTTCTCCTTTCTGAGGCCCTGGGGGTACTCTGATGCTGCCAGGGGACAGGCGGCTGCACCTGGGACAAAGACAAACCAGAGGGACCAAGGCTGCTCCAGGGCCCAGCTATGGAGAGAAGGGTGAGGGAATAAGGAACTGATGAGGAGGGGGAATGTCAGCCAGAAAAGGAGTTGTGTCGGGGTTGAGAAAAACTGGTGGGACGGTGCCTGGGTGGCTCAGTTAAAGCATCCAGACTCTTGATTTAGGCTCAGGTGGGGATCACAGCATCACGTGACTGAGCCCCATGCTCAGTGCCAAGTTGGCTTGAGATTCCCTCTTCTTCTCCCCTATCCCTCCCCCACCCTCCCTTCACAGTCTCTCTCCCACCCATTTCTCTAAAATTTTTAATAAATAAATGAATTTTTGTTTATTAATCAATCACAAATTAATAAATAACTCATTAGTAAATAACTAAACAAATAAAATCTTAAAAAAAAAAAAAAACAAGAAAGAAAGAAAAGCTGGTGGGAGAGGGCAGTCCTAAAGGGTGTGCTGGAGCCTGCTGGTACCAGTGCTGGTGAGCCCATTGTACTACTGATGATCAAAATGTAATCCTTCATTCATTTTGGACTCTGCATTCAGGGATGTCCCATAGCTTCAAATCAGCCATTGCAGAAAACTAGCAGACGCTACTCATCAGAGCATCTTCCCACTAGAGAGAAGGCTTTGAGTGGGGTGTATTGGAGAATGGTAGTGCATGGAGAAACCAGAAAGAGAACTTCCGTAGAGGTATGGAATCCTGCATTTGAACCCCAGGCTTGCTACTTACTGGGTGACCTTGGGCAAGTTACTTAACCTCTCCCAGCCACAGTGTCTTTATCTGCCTTCTAGTATTGATCATTATGAAGCTTAAATTAACATACATAAAGCACTTAGAATCATGCTCTCTACATTTCACTCAATAAATATTATATCATTATTTTGGGAGAGTGTGTTAGGAAAATGAGCATCTTAATCCTCAAGTAAACAACTCAGGCCAGTGAGTCTCAGTTGGTGCATCCCAGGCTCTGTGGGCATGAACAAAAAACGGACAGACCTCTGCCTATTCTAGGCTCACGATCTACACGGAAAACCAAACATTCTCTTGGAAGTTACAGAGCACTAAAAATGCACTCATTCGTATAACACTTTACATTCCACAAAGATCTTTCATATGAATTATCTCTTGTGATCCTCACAACAGCACCCCCTTTATAGAGGAGAAAATCAGAAAGAAGGAGTGACGTCAAGAGGCTCACACAGGGGGCAATGGCAGAATTATGAGCTTTACAAGAGCTGTCACCAGATCGGTCATGGTCAAGCACGAAGTAGCGTTCCTGTATGAAGATAATACGGTAAGGTTAAGCCCCTTTCTCCAGCATCGTGGGGCCAGGGATTCTACTACGCACGCTGGACAAGCTAATTCAGCCATCCATCCAGCATCACGCAGCGCACCAGCCCGGGTTCATCTCCAGGCCACGTCTCCGGATGGCGTTCCCTTCATCTTGGGGGAATCGGTGTCCAGTCCAGGTCTCTGCGCCCGGAGTTGGGGAGCAGACCTGCACCCCAGAGGCTGAGTCATCGCCGATGACTCCTCTCGGTCTAATGAGGCAGCACAGAGCCCATTGGCCTCTCCTTCCATCCCATCTCTATGGCGGAAGTGCGTGATTCCAGCCGAAACACAACAACACTCTCGGTGGTGGGCTGAATGGACTCGTCCAAACGAGGGAGATACTTTTTACTATCGAATCAAAAAATCCGAGAGGTGATCAAACCAAAAAGAAGCACGCTTTCTCGGAGGAGTGTGTGGCCCTCTGTGTCCGCTGGCGTGGCTGTAAGGTGGGGGGACGGCTGCGCTGATGTCGGGCCCGGCCGGGCGTGTTCGCACCCCCGCCGGAGACCCATGGAGCCGGTGGAACCTGCCCGGCTGGCAGGGGGCGGAGGTCCGGACTTCCGCCGCCGGCACCGCCTCCTGCCGCGGTGGTCAGGCGGCCCCGGGAGCGCGGTTTCCTTGTCCGTCCGGTCTGGGACACAGGCTTGGGTTGGTGGGGGACCGTTTCGACTAACCGTCTGTCCCCTTCCCCTGTGTAAGCGCGGGCATTCCCCGGGCCGGCGGGAGGGACGGCGCACCTGGAACTCCCGAGTGCGGCCAGGCTGGGCGCGGGGAGGGTCCGCCCCCCCCCCCGCCCCCCGCGCACCTCCCGGGACCTCAGGAGGCAGCTTCTTTCCTGGACTCCGGACTTCGGCGGGTTGCGGGTGGTGGCGGTGGGAGACACGGGACCCGGTGGAAGGTCCTTCCTGGGGCCCGCCAGAGTATCTTGACGCTGAGCTTTCTGTTTTGGCTTTTAGTCTCTTTGGGGCTCAGTCGCTGGCGCGGACGTCGAGGCGCATTTGCGCGCGAGGAGGAGAAAGGGCATGGTCCGAACCTGAAGGACCTGCGTTCAAACCTATACGCGTAAGTGGGCATGGGGATGCCCTGGGCTCCAAGCTGGCGCTGTGCTCTGCATACCTGGGCCTTCGGGCGTTGGGGCGATGGGGGATCAGAGATTTCATGAGATTTCAGAGAAAATTTCAGAGACAATCAGAGATTTCATGATTTCAGAGAAATCATGAGATTTCCCAGGCTCTGCTCGAGAAGACTCCCCGCCCACAGGAGGCAGGGGTGAGGGGAAGGGGACAGAAAGGTTCATCACAGACCAGATGTGGCTTGCTCTGGGAAGGAGGCTGGGGTTGGTCAGTACCGACTTCCTGAAGGAGTGCTACCAACAACAGCTTTTTCCTAGGAAGAGCCTGGGGGTGGGGCCAAAGAAAGAAGTGGACTGGGTGAACGTTTGTGGGGGACCCTGTGGGGGAAGTGGTGGAAGAAGGGGGAGCTGGGCCAGAGCTGGGAGCCTCTAGATGGGAATCTGTTGAAGGGAATTATACTATAGAGAGCAGAAAGGAGGGGCAGAGTTTGACTCCTCCTGATGTAGGAGAAACTGATCCAGCAACCTGTGGAAGGACCTGGAGGCTTCTGATCAGGGTGATTTGAGCAGTTACTTTGTACTAGGTTCCAGGCATGGAGTTTCCAGTAGGATCTAGTCCCTGCCGTCAAGGAACTGTCAGTCTGGGGGAGAGCCAAGACAGGATAATACCTGTGAAGGGATGACTGCTAGGTCAGGTAGACCCTCGCTGGTAGCCGAGTGAGAGGCAGAGCCAGCTTGATCTCTGAGCTGTCCACAGACTGCCCTGTGTTCACTGCTGAGCACTGCTGTTTAATGGGGAATGAGACAGACTGAAATACGCTTAGAGGAGAGCTGCCAGAGAAGATGTGATGTCCAGAAGATGTGACGTGTATGGGGACTGGGGACCTTTAACCTGTGGTAGGGGTGAGGGATAATGGAAGAGTTGTCTCCAGATATCAGACAGGCACATAAGTGGAAAAGGGAGACTTATTCTGTGTGGCTTCTGATATCCAAACTGTGACCAGGGGTTTGAAGCGCTAAGGGGCGGATTCCTTCTGGAGAAGGAATACCTGAGTAGAGCTGTCCAAAGACAGAATGGTTTGCTGTGAGAGGTGGTAAGTTCTCCGTCAGGGCAGGTTTGTAAGCTGAATGCTCAGCAAGAAATGGGACTGTTCTTCTCCTTTGGGGCTCATATTCAGTTACTTACAAGGTCTGGTCCTCAGGTATGTTCTTTCTTTCACACTCGGTCCACCAGTGCTGTATCATAGCCTGTGTCCTCTCTCAGCAACAATGATACCCTTGTGAATGATAGTGGTTGGTCCTTACTGTTTACTACTCGCCAGATACTGCTTTAAGTGCTTTATAGATGCTAACTCATCTACTCCCTGGGACAATCCTTTCAGGGTAGCTTTCTAGATCCCCTTTACATAGATTCAGGAAACTGAGGCACATAGGAGTTAAGTAGCTTGCCCAGGGTCGCCCAGTGAGCAAAGGAGTTAAGTAGCTTGCCCAGGGTCGTCCAGTGAGCAAGTGGTAGAGCTGGGGTTGCAGCCCAAGCTGTCTGGCTTTAGAGTCACTGGTCACTGTGTCTGGCTTTAGAGTCACTTCTACTGTAGAAGAGTGGATAAAACCAGTGACTGTAAATTTTATTTGATCATTTTATTTGATTTTTTTAATTAAAAATTTTTTTGATTTATTTGATTTTTTAAAAAAATTTTTTATTTGATTTTTAAATTTATTTTATTTGATCATTTTATTTGATCTTCACAAGAATCCAAATTTACAGGTAAAACACACTCAGAGAGGTTAAGTGATTTGCTTGCAGTCACAGAACAAGATGTAGGAGAGCTGGGGTTCGACCCAGGACTGTTGGATGTGAAAATCCCCACACTTTGCACTTTACTCCTCCATATCCCATTGTGCTGCCTCTGTAACTGTCCCTGTTGTTGTGGCCTCTAACTGGACTTATTGCCCAGCCTTTTTGCCTTAAATCTGAAAGGTTTTGCCCCAGAGTTTGTTGATGGCCCTGGCATGAGGGGAGATTTGAGGTGTGTGTGTCCGTTAGTCAGGTGTCAGAGCTCAGTCTTCATTTTTTTCAAAAAAGATTTATTTATTTATTTGAGAGAACGGCAGTGCACAAGCGGTGGGGACGAACAGAGGGAGAGGGAGAATCAGGCTCCCCCCTGAGCAGAGAGCCCGATGTAGGACTCGATCCCAGGACCCTGAGATCATGACCTGATCCGAAGGCGGAGGCCTAACCCACTGAGCCCCTCAGGCACCCCCAGCCTTCATAGTTTTTATTGATTTCTCAGAGCAGTTTTTGGCCACAAGATAGTTAAGAGCCATCCTTCACCTTTCATCTGGTTCACTTTCTCCTGCACAGATCTGATCTTGGCACCGTGACGCATTGGCTCTTCCCTGCCCTCAGCACAGGGTCCAAGTGCCTTAACCTGGCCATTCAAGGTCCTAGGCAGTCAGACTCCTACCTTCCTTTGCTTCTTACTCCCGCCTCGTATCCTGGCCAGTCAGATAGCCTTCATCTGCGTCTCTCTCCTCCAGTCCTGTGGCCTCTCGGGGGCAGGGGCCGTGCGCACCGTCAGTGGCTGGTGGTGGACAGCGGCGGTGAGCCTTTGCGGGACATGGCGCTCAACGCCGTCCTGAGGTCAAGTCCTGGCCGGTATTTGGACTGGTAACTTGGAAGCTCTTTCCCTTTCTGATCCTGAGAGCCTTCCTTGGCAGTATGTGCCGTCAGAATGCCAAGAAGGGCCACAGAGGCAGAGGCTGGTGGGGCCGGGAAGGCAGCAGACGGGTCACGTGTCCATGCTCTGACCTGACTGCTCTTGCAGGGTGGCCCCTGGCTGGGGTGAAGCCCCCCCCCCCCCCCGGCTCCTGTTTTCGTTCTTGTCCTGCCCGCGGGTGCGGGCTCCTGGCTGCAGGATGAACTGTCGCTCGGAGGTGCTGGAGGTGTCGGTGGAGGGGCGGCAGGTGGAGGAGGCCATGCTGGCCGTGCTGCACACGGTGCTCCTGCATCGAAGCACCGGCAAGTTCCACTACAAGAAGGAGGGCACCTACTCCATCGGCACCGTGGGCACCCAGGATGTGGACTGTGACTTCATCGACTTCACCTACGTTCGGGTCTCCTCAGAGGAGCTGGACCGTGCCCTGCGCAAGGTTGTCGGGGAATTCAAGGTAGGGGTGTGGCACAGGGGGTGGCAGGCGCAGCACGAATGTCTCCCCCCACCCCCGCTTGCCCTTGGACAGGCCTTCCCTTCACTAGTGTTCCTGTTGGGTTCTTCCATGTTCTGAGACACAGATGTGTGTTCAGTGCTCCTTGCGGGGTGGAGGGCTCTGGACAGGGCAGGGGAAGGGGCTGGTGAGAACCCCTCGGGGAGGGAGAGCAGACAGCCCTTGCGGCGTGGACATTGGGTTCCCTCGGGTGCCCATTGCCCACCCCCCCTATCCTAGGCTGGACCTCTTCTCTGACTCTTCAGCTCTCCCTTCCTATGGACTCCTCTCGGCTTCCACCTGCCCTTTCATGAAATTCCTTTCCCTGGGGGAATTCCCCAAGAGGGAGGCTCGCTGGGCTCCGGCGCTCACCATCCAGTGGAGCATCCCTTTGGGCAGTGTGGCTGAGGTTTATACGTGCCTGTGTGGGCCTGGAGGAAGGTGGCAGGGACACACCAGGCTGCTGACGTTGGTCACCTCGGGCAGTGGGAATTTGTATTCATTCAGGGTGGTAGTGTTTCACTGTTTCAGTGAGTGGCTATTTTGAATTTTCAAGTAAGGGGGAATTTTTTTTTAAGGTGCCATCTCTGAGGTGAGAGGAGGAGGGCCGTCTCTCTGACTTCCATTTCACAAACATTTGGAGAGCCCCTACATGGTGCTGGGCTCCAGGTGCTCATGGCAGGATGTGGACCCTCCCCCAGGCCACAGTGTTCCCCCTCACTGCACTCCCTTGTCCCTCTGAGAGCAGACAGGGTAAGTTCTTTAGAGTTTCCCAGTCCGTCTTCAAGGGAGGCTGTGGTAGTCAGCCGACCGTCCTAAGTCTGGCTATAGACGCCTGTGAGAAGCACGTAGCATATAATGGTTAAGAGCATGGATTCAGGGGCCTGGCTGTACCACCCAGCTGGTGTGTGACCTTGGGCAGATGACGCCACTTCCCAGGCCTTCGGCTTCCCTGTATGTAAAACTGGAAGGATAATCATACTTGCCTCAGAGGCATATGCACTATGAGGATTAAATGAGTCAAATATGTCAAGTGCTTGAACCAGCCTGGCTTTACTGTGAGCTTTGTAGAGGTGTTAGCCATCATGACCCGTGACCTTGCTCTGTCCACAAAGGAGAGAATTATCCCTTGAAGGACAGTTCAGGACTTGAGGGAAGCACCCTTACTCTCCGAGTTGGTGTTAACTCAGAGGGAAGGGTGCTTCAGGCTCCCAGCTGCTCTAGGAGGACGAGTGTGGGGCCACCACACCCCCTGGAGGTAGGGGCTAGGCAGAATTCTTGGACGAGATGGTCTCATTTGCTTCTCAGAGAAGGGGGAGAAGCCAGCTCTGGTCTGTCCTTCCCCCTTCTGTTTCTTGGTTTCCTTTTTCTTTTTTTAAAGATTTTATTTATTTATTAGAGAGAGAGGCTGGGGGAGGGGCAGAGGGAGACACTGACTCCCCACTGAGCAGGGACCCCCCCCCCTCCCCTGGCAAACCCCCTCCCCCGGAACTCAATCCCAAAGGCAGATGCTTACCCTACTGAGCCACCCAGGTGCCCCTCTTGGTGTCCTTTTTTCTAGTTAAGGCTCACTGGACTTTAATCCCCTCTTCTGCTTTTCTTTAGAGACAGATCTTGTTGGTTTGCTAGGAACACTTGTGTTTGGGTGGCAGTTTGCTGTGTCACTTCACACGAATCCTTTGCCCCCTGTGCATCTCATTCCCTACCTTCCCTGAAGGACTAGTAAAGCTAGGAGAGCCTAGTTCCCCGGGGTGTAGGAAGCAGGCACTCACAGGGTGACTCGGCCTTCTCATCTGTTACCCCTCTTCCTTCCCCAGGACGCGCTGCGCAACTCTGGAGGTGATGGGCTGGGGCAGATGTCCCTGGAGTTCTACCAGAAGAAGAAGTCACGCTGGCCTTTCTCGGATGAGTGCATCCCCTGGGAAGTGTGGACAGTGAAGGTGCACGTGGTCGCCCTGGCCACAGAGCAGGAACGGCAGATCTGCCGGGAGAAGGTGGGCGAGAAGCTCTGCGAGAAGGTCATCAACATTGTGGAGGTCATGAACCGGCATGAGTACCTGCCCAAGATGCCCACGCAGTCGGAGGTGGACAACGTGTTCGACACGGGCTTGCGGGATGTGCAGCCCTACCTATACAAGATCTCCTTCCAGATCACCGATGCCCTGGGTACCTCGGTCACCACCACCATGCGCAGGCTCATCAAAGACACCCTTGCCCTCTAGGCCTTACTGGAGCCACGGGCTCTCCTGGATGGCTTGCAGACCTTGGCTTCCAGGGATCATACTGTGGGGCCTTTGGGGCTCTGGAGCCTGCTCAGACTCCTTGGTGAGACTTGGAATGGCCACCCCTGGCTTCCTTGTTTTGTGGTTGCCAGTCCTTGGTCATCCCCTTTAACCTTTGCTCATGGTCAGGTCTGGCCTTGACTGTCTCTCTGCACCCCTGTGGGGGTCCCCCTTCCTCAAATGTATGGATGAGCCATCGCTGGGATGGTGAATAAAATTGAGAATGTGTTTGGGTTGAGCCTTCTCTCCCTGGGCCTGTGTCCTGCCCTGAAATGTCACCACTCTCTGACCTGTGCAGATGCAGGTGTGCATTGAGGGCATTATTCCCACACGAAGGGAACGGGGCGGGGGATAGATTAAAACTGGCCAGTTGGTACTTTGTTGTGGGTTCACAAAAGCAGGTGTTCACCACCCGGTTGTCACTGTGGTCAGTCCTGTGAATGATGACACAGAGGAGGAGCTGTTGCTTTCAGATATGACTGCTGTTTCTTCTCCCTGAGGAAGCTGTGATATCCTGGCTTTGATGTTATCTGGACTGGCTTCACGATGATTCTCAAAGAGTATCCTCTGTGTCTTCACAGTGCACATACAGGTCCCCACGTGTACCAGAAAGCTCATTTAGTTGGGGGTTTCCTTCTCTGGAGAGAGATTGGCCAACTTGAGATAGGTGTTTGATGACACTTCTTCCAGACTGGGCTGGGCCTTGCCGGTTGTTAGGACACTGCTTTGTTAACACACTCATTTCTACAACAGGATGCTCAAACTGTGAACTCCTTGTATACTTCTTACGGATTTATTCCCTCTTTTGTAATACTTCTGGGTTATATGTGGGCAGTTGTACCAGGCTAAATGGAGTGCAGGGTGGTGGGGTCTTCCGCGAGGTCCTGGAGCAGGTAGGTGGCCAGCGTGGCCAGGAAGTGTTGGCACGTTTCTCCCATTCCAGGCACCTTGGCCCTGTGGTAGTGAAGTGTTGCCGTTGATCACTGGGGCATTGGGAGAACTCAGGAGGTTCTCAAGGCTTGGGAGATGGGGAAGGCCGTTTCCTAGCAGGTCCTTGATGGTGTCTAATCCCTACCTGGCCTGCTGGAGTCTGGGGATCTTTTCTTCCTAGCCGGCCATCAGCTAATCCTTTCTGAGTGGCTGGTTGGCTGACAGAGTTGTTTGCTGGCCGTGACTTAGTTTTTTTAAAAAGAGAGCTCAAGGTTGCTGTCTTTCTGGAGATCTGAGCAGGAGGGTCTTCCCTCCATCCCAGCTTTTTGAGACTTTCTCCTTTACTCAGCCGGTCTCTGCTCCATGCCCAAGCCCAGGCTGGTCATGGGACACCCCGCTGGCACTGAGCTCCCCTTGGGGGTATAGGACAGTAACCTTTCCATTCTTCTCTGGCGTTACGATTTCCCAGAGGTAGGGGACTGATGTACTCAGGGGTCAGAAGAGGAGCCCTGGTGACTCAACTTCGCTTGCTCATCAGTAGGTAACTTGACCTCTGGGGCCTGAGCAAAGGAATGAGGGTAGGACTTGAAGTTCTACCCTGCATCTCTCCTTGCTATGGGCCCAAGGAGGCACTGGCCTGCTTGTCCAACTCTAAGAGGTTCCCAGAAGGGATGATGGAGGAGTAAGCATCTGTGCCCCTCAGGTCTTGGAGGTGCTCATTTGCCTCCTGTTCTAATGGGCACCTGGGCCACCTGCAGTATTGAGCTTTGGCTCAGGGACAGCCCAGGAGCGCTTGCTGGTCTTGTACCCTGTTTAGTGGGGCAGCACCCCACCATCAGCACCTGGGGTGGGGTCTGGAAGATTTTTTCAGTTCGAAGGGAGGTGCTATCTCTTTGAGTTCCTTTGCCATGGGAGAAGGAAAGCCTTGGGACCTGACTCTGGATTTGACTGGATGGGTGTATGGGCTGTGAGACAGGAAGAAATACCCCCGGGGGCCGGAGGAGCTCTGCACGCAGGGTGGGAGCGAACGGAGCTTGGGATCCGCCCCTCGGGCACCTCCCCCATGCAGCCCAGGCCCGCCCGCCCGCTCTCCCGCTCGCGCTCCCGCACATCTGGCCCTTCCGCGCACATCTGGGCAGCTGGCGGCGCCACAGCATGAACAGCTCCCAAGCGGGCGCTTCGCCCCCTGCCACCTGGCTGAGCTCTTGCTGCAACCAGTCCGGGGAGCCGCTGGAGCCCCCCGAGGGGCCGCGCGTCGTGCAGGCGGCGGTGCTGGGAGTCCTGTCGCTGCTCGTGCTCTGCGGGGTCCTGTTCCTGGGCGGTGGCCTCCTCCTCCGCGCCCAGGGCCTGATGGCGATGCTGGTCCGCGAGCGGCGCGCGTCCCGCGAGGCCGAGCCCAGCAGTGCCAGCGGAGGCGAGGACGACTCCTAGGCGCCCGTGCGCTCCAGGGTCGCGGGCCTCCAGGCGGCCCAGGACTGGGCATCCGACGGCGGCTGCGGAGCGGGGGGCACCACGTCCTTCCCTAGAGGCTGGCGCCCGCTCAGGTGAGAGCGGTGGGGGACAGCTCTTCAGCGACTGGGGTTGGGCTCTGCATGTCCACCAGGTGGGCCCTGCGGCTACCCTGGGTGTGCTGGGACCTGAGGGAAGAGGCTGCCACCCTGTGTCTCTCCTGCAGCAATGCCCCATCCGTGTCTTTTTTTTTAGAATGATGGTCACCAAGTGTGAGAGTCACCAGGTGTGAGGGGGAGGTAGGGCGGATGGGAGAAGGGCTCTGGAGGGGCCGCAGTGTGCTTTGGAGCCCCTTCCTGCATGTATCCAGCCTCCGCTTTGCCCCAGCACTACTTGGAGCTAAGGCCCAGCTCCAGCCCCTGCCACTGGGGGGCTAAAGGAGACACACTGCCCCAGAAACAGTGACGATCCAGACCTTTGGCTCCTGCTTCCGCCTCCTCTCCTTCCTGAAGTCTTGTCCCTAGAAGGGGATCTGAGTAAGATTCCTCTCTGTGGCCTCCCTTTGGAGGCAGAGATGGGAGTGTGGGTCCTGTTTTATGGCAGAACCAGGGGCCTGGATGACTCTAGGGGATGGGGAGGTGAGGTGGGGTCTCCCCTCCCCCAGACCCTGTTCTGGTGTGTGTGTGGGGGGCCAGGTGTGGCCCAGAGCACTGAGCTTTGCCTCATGAGTGGGGAAGGTGGTGAGGTTCCTGATAGCCGGGGGCCTCATGAGTGCACTGCTAGAGGAAGCTGGGGCTGAGGATTTCCAGCTGTGGGGGCTCTGTCTGGTTCTCCTGTCTCTGTCTCTCTAAGGACAAGAACCATCTGGAGGGAAGGGCCTGGGTGGCCTCAAGACAAGGTAACTCCAGGCCAAGGCCATCTTGGGTGGAGCCATGGGCGGGGAAGCCTTCCCTGTCTCTCTCCTCTGCTCAGTGATGCACCTCTGGGCTCCTGGGAGGTTTCTGTGGGGCTCTTCTTTGGGGGTTCCTCTGACCTGTTGCTTGCCAAGTGCAGAGGCAGAGTCCTAGCTTCTGCCTGAGAAGGAAGTCGGGGCACGTCGAGGGAGGCTGGTGAGGGGAGGGTGATGGCGTGGGCGGGCCGCGGCTGAGCATTTGAGAAGCTGACAACGTGTGATCACTGCATGGAGCAGCCCAGGATTTAGCGCTAATCCCAGGTAGTTGTGCCACACTGGCCTTGCTGAGCTGTGGACTCCTCACTTCAGGGACGCCGCTGCCACCCCTGGGAGAGAGGGCTGGCCAGGGCAGTGAGGGCTGTGTGTGTGTGACTGGCCCTGGCATCAGGGCAGCGGGCTGGAGCTGGGGGACCCGGGCCACCTCCCTTTGCAGCATGCCAGATGAGGGGTGAGAATGCTCTCTTTTTGTTGTATCCAGGTCCCTTTGCCCCCTTGCCTGATAACATTCTGCTGTTTTTCGACCCTTCCTCACCCTGTGCTCTTCTGTGGCCCGGGATAGAGGAATTTCCATATCCACTCCGAACACTTCATTTTGCAAATGGGTACACTCAGAGACAAGAAAGTGACAGGGCCCAGTGAATGACAGAGCGGGAACTGAAGCCCGAGGCTCCTGATTCTGAGCTCAGGGTGGGGGCGTCCCTGTGCGAGGAGGTTCCTCCTCCGGTTATTCCTCTTGCTCTGTCCCTGATTTCCCACCACTCTTGGGGATGCTGATGCAAAACATGACCTCTCTCTGAAAGAATGAACCTTCACACACACTCCCTTATTTGGCCTATGGTATCTGGGACCAGAACTCCAAACCCCCAGGTTACTGCCTCCCTCCTGACTCTTCTTCCCCAGCGGCCTTGTTAGATAGCCTTCTGTTGCTGGGCACAGCTTTCCAGCTGCTGGCAGCTGTCCCCCAGCCAGCTGGGCTCAGCTTTCTGGCCTGAGCCTGAGGGTGGGCGTGAGCTCAGAGGGTCAGCGGGAGTGTGCCTCTGCAGAAGACACTCCAAGGGGAGGGGGCAGATGGAGCAGAGGTGAGGGTGATGACTTCTGGACTGGCATTTGGATTCAAGTCTGGGTGGTGGAGGAGTGTAGAGAGATCTGGTAGAGGGAAGGGCGGCGCCCCTAGCGTCCTGTGTCTGCTGGAGTGGGGGGACCGAGGGGGTAGGCAAAGGCTTTCTTTATTCAACTTCCTGCCTTTGCTGTCCCTTCAGCTCAATGCTTGGAGAGCCGGGCTCGGCCTGTGCCGGGGACCTCGATGTTCTTGGGGGAAGATACTGGGATCTTTACTATGGAACTCTGACCCTGGCCAAGGCTGTCGGATTGAGTGGGGAGGAAGAAGATTTAGAAAGTTGGGGAATGAGTGCTGCTGTCTTCCCGACTCTCAGACTGTGGCTTGGAGCGACAGGTGGGGCAGTGGGTGTGGTCTGAGCGGCATGGAGTAAGGCTAGGGCGTCTGGACCCCCAGCAGGCTGGCTCAATTATCCTGTACTATCGCTGAGGGAGAGGCTGGGGCCACAAATGGGTGATTTTGCCTTAACTTTCCTGTGGCTCGTGAATTTCATCGTGAGCTGGAAAGGGTTGTTGGGGGCTGATCCAGTTCATTCCTCAGCAACGATGGGTGGGGGTGTCTCTGTTACAGGTTCTTGAGCCTCATGTGGTGTATCTCCCAGAGCTCTGCCGCCCTCCTACAGCACCGGGGGACCTGCTGCCTTTGATCCTTGAGCGGTGCAGACAAGACCAGGAGAAAGCTGGCTTGTGGTGAGGCATCTACCCGCGATCCTTGTGCTCAGCCCCGCCTCTCCTTTGCTCTGTTCACCTCCTGCGGCACCCGCACTCTTGGACATGGGGCTGGGGGGGTCAGCGCTCTAGGGATGAGCGAGCGCCCTGAGCTGCCACTGCATGTCTGGGGCACTGGAGTGGACAAACGCCCTTGGATGCTCAGTGCAGCTGATGCTGGCTACGCCCCTGACTGGCCGGCCTCCGACAACACGTGTGCCGCCACTTTCCCATCTCTGATACCGGGCTGCTGTGGTCCAACAGGCCAGTGACCTGTCCCTGCTGAGGGCTGTGGGTCAGTGTCGTCCATTTGGAGATCTTGGTGCCCCAGCAATGCCCTATCACTTTGCGTGGCTTGTTATTAAATACGCTGGTAATGCAAGTGTCCTATTTACAGTCTATGTTTCAGCTCTAGACTCTTGACATTGGTGGTATCCTGCTCCCACCCTCCCTCCAGTTTGAACTGTTTCTAGCTGATCCTGAAAGAGCATCACCGGCCATGGCCCCTCTGCCCTAGCCTCTCTTCAGTGGTGGCTACTCCCCTTCGACACCCAGAGCCAAATCCTTCCTAGGGAGGGTAGGGAGTGGGGGCCCACAGTAACGCTCATGTCGGCACTTGGCTGCCCCCTAGTGGCCAGTGTGGGCCAGAGCACCACTTCCTTCAACTGGTGTTCTGGGGTCTAATCCTAGCCTAGCCTTAACCAGAGGTGCTTTGAAATGAGAGCGAATTTTGTGAGTGTGTGCCCTGAATTCTAGATGGTAAACCATCCCGAGCCTCCGTCTCTTCATCTATAAAATGGGGGCAGCAGTGTCCTTATGAGGATCAAACAGGTCATATGCTTGTCCATAGATAAAAAGATTTTCTACACTGTAATTGCCATGTGATGCTATTTTTCTCCCCCGAACCCGACCATCCCAAGAAGAGGTTAGAACCACCCACCCTGTTCCTGGGAACCCTTCACTTATTCATCTTCTCCATGGGTATTGACCGAGTGACTGCTCTTTGCCAGGCAGGTGCTGGGGCCTGGTGGGGAGGAGGTGAACGCCACAGAGCCCTTGCCCTAGAGGAGCTCACAGTCCAGGAAAGAGCGCTGCTCACAGAACTGAGGTTAACATAGACCATCAGTCATGCTCAGCATCAGCAGAGCTAAGAGCAGAGAGTGTCGTAGAGAAGGTGGTATACTGAAAGGGCACTCACAGGGCCGGCGGTGGGGGTGGGAAGAAGGACATTCTGGACAAAGGTGCAGGGGGTGTGAGGCTGGGGGAGCCTACAAGCAGGGTATGGAGGGAGATGAGACCAAAGGGGTGGCGGTTGGAGAGGAGTGGCATTTACCCTGGGGTAGGGAGGTATCTAGAAGGTTTCAAGCTATAAAGTGACATGGTAAGATCTAGATCTTAGGGGACTGGGAGGGAAGTTGGTAGGTGGGAGCAGGCTGGACAGCAGGGAGGCTGTGATCAAAACCCGGTAAAGTCAGGGCACCTGAGTGGCTCAGTAGGTTAAGGGTCTGCCTTCAGCTTGGGTCATGATCCTAGGGTCCTGAGAGCAAGCCCTGTGTCAGGCTCCCTGCTCAGCGGGGTGTCTCCTTCTCCCTCTTCCTCTGCTGCTCCTCCTGCTTGAACTCTTTGTCAAATAAAGAAATGAAATCTAAAAAACAAAAAACCCCCAGAGCCCCCAAGCCAGCAAAGTCACAGTGGCCTGGACGAGGGTGGAAAGTTAGGGGACAGATCCGAGTGATATTCAGGGTTCAGACTTTGGTCACGAGTTGGATGTGAGGGATGAGGGAGAAGGAGGAGGGAAGGATCTAGCTCCTGCTCTGGATTACTGAGGGGATGGAGATGCCTGCCACCTACTGAGGGGATGTGTTATCAGTTAGGACTTTTTGGGTCAGAATTTACCGGAAACCCAAAGGATATTTGACTTGGGCAGAAGGAATTGATTGGCCCATGTAACTGGAAAGCCTAGGGGTAACTCTGGCCTCAGGCCTGCTGTGACTCTGGTCTCAGACCATAAGAGCAGCGGCCTTAGTGTCTCTTTCCTCTGGGCTTGGTCTGCTCACTGCTGTCAGCCTCTGGCCGGGGGTCTAATGGTCAGAGCAGGGACTTGGCTGGATATGTACTCCAGCCCCACATTCGCTAGCAGTGTGAGCTCTGCGACATGCTTCATCCCTCAGTGGCTTGAGTCCCTCCTCTTGAGAGTGGCGAAGGCAGGGCCTAGCTTTGCCTTGTTTTGTTAGAATGGCTGAGATTCAC